GTCTCCATTCACTCCTATCTAACACGCTCATGCACGCTTGCTGGAAGTCCAAGCCCCTCACCCACAAAACCTCCTTTACCCCCTCTTTCCAACCCTTTCGAGGACGACCCTACCCTCTTTCCTTCCCTATAGATTTATTATGCTTTCCATGTCATTCTACTTTGATCCATTCTCTCAAATGACATAACCACCTCAACAACCCCTCTTCTGCCCTCGACTAATGCTTTTATTAACTCCACACCTTCTCCTAATTTCACACTCCGAATTTTCTGCATAATATTTACACCACACGTTGCCCTTAGACAGGACATCTCCACTGCCTCCAACCGTCTCCTCGCTGCTGCATTTACCACCCAAGCTTCACATCCATATAAGAGTGTTGGTACTACTATTACTTTCTACATTCCCTTCTTTGCCTCCATAGATAACGTTTTTTGACTCCACATATACCTCAACGCACCACTCACCTTTTTTCCCTCATACAATTCTATGATTAACCTCATCCTTCATAAATCCATCCGCCGACACGTCAACTCCCAAGTATCTGAAAACATTCACTTTCTTCCATACTCCTCCTCCCCAATTTGATATCCAATTTTTCTTTATCTAAATCATTTGATACCCTCATCACCTTACTCTTTTCTATGTTCACTTTCAACTTTTACCTTTACACACATTCTCAAACTCATCCACTAACCTTTGTAATTTTTCTTTAGAATCTCCCATAAGCACAGTATCATCAGCAAAAAGTAACTGTGTCAATTCCCATTTTGAATTTGATTCCCCATAATTTAATCCCACCCCTCTCCGAACACCCTAGCATTTACTTCTTTTACAACCCCATCTATAAATATATTAAACAACCATGGTGACATTACACATCCCTGTCTAAGACCTACTTTTACCGGGAAGTATTCTCCCTCTCTTCTACACATCCTAACCTGAGCCTCACTATCCTCATAAAAGCTCTTTACAGCATTTAGTAACTTACCACCTATTCCATATACTTGCAACATCTGCCACATTGCTCCTCTATCCACTCTATCATATGCCTTTTCTAAATCCATAAATGCAATAAAAACTTCCCTACCTTTATCTAAATACTGTTCACATATATGCTTCAATGTAAACACTTGATCTACACATCCCCTACCTACTCTGAAGCCTCCTTGCTCGTCCGCAATTCTACATTCTGTCTTACCTCTAATTCTTTCAATTATAACCCTACCGTATACTTTTCCTCAGTAAACTTATTCCTCTATAATTTTTACAATCTCTTTTGTCCCCTTTCCCTTTATATAAAGGGACTATACATGCTCTCCGCCAATCCCTAGGTACCTTCCCCTCTTTCATACATTTATTAAACAAAAGTACCAACCACTCCAACACTATATCCCCCCCTGCTTTTAACATTTCTGTCATGATCCCATCAGTTCCAGCTGCTTTACCCCCTTTCATTCTACGTAATGCCTCACGTACCTCCACCACACTTACATTCTGCTCTTCTTCACTCCTAAAAGATGGTATACCTCCCTGGCCAATGCATGAAATTACCGCCTCCCTTTCTTCCTTAACATTTAAAAGTTCCTCAAAATATTCTCGCCATCTACCTAATACCTCCCTCTCCCCATCTACTAACTCCCCTACTCTGTTTTTAACTGACAAATCCATACTTTCCCTAGGCTTTCTTAACTTGTTTAACTCACTCCAAAATTTTTTCTTATTTTCATTAAAATTTCTTGACAGTGCCTCTCCCACTCTTTCATCTGCTCTCCTTTTGCACTCTCTCACCACTCTCTTCACCTTTCTTTTACTCTCCATATACTCTGCTCTTCTTATAACACTTCTGCTTTGTAAAAACCTCTCGTAAGCTACCTTTTTCTCTTTTATCACACCCTTTACTTCATCATTCCACCAATCACTCCTCTTTCCTCCTGCCCCCACCCTCCTATAACCACAAACTTCTGCCCCACATTCTAATACTGCATTTTTAAAACTATTCCAACCCTCTTCAACCCCCCCACTACTCATCTTTGCACTAGCCCACCTTTCTGCCAATAGTCGCTTATATCTCGCCCGAACTTCCTCCTCCCTTAGTTTATACACTTTCACCTCCCTCTTACTTGTTGTTGCCACCTTCCTCTTTTCCCATCTACCTCTTACTCTAACTGTAGCTACAACTAAATAATGATCCGATATATCAGTTGCCCCTCTATAAACATGTACATCCTGGAGCCTACCCATCAACCTTTTATCCACCAATACATAATCTAACAAACTACTTCATTACGTGCTACATCATACCTTGTATATTTATTTATCCTCTTTTTCATAAAATATGTATTACTTTATTACCAAATTTCTTTCTACACATAGCTCAATTAAAGGCTCCCTATTTACATTTACCCCTGGCACCCCAAAATTACCTACTACTCCCTCCATAACATTTTTACCCACTTTAGCATTGAAATCCCCAACCACCATTACTCTCACACTTGATTCAAAACTCCCCACGCATTCACTCAACATTTCCCAGAATCTCTCTCTCTCCTCTACACTTCTCTCTTCTCCAGGTGCATACACGCTTACTATAACCCACTTTTCACATCCAATCTTTATTTTACTCCACATAATCCTTGAATTTATACATTTGTAGTCCCTCTTTTCCTGCCATAGCTTATCCTTCAACATTATTGCTACTCCTTCTTTAGTTCTAACTCTATTTGAAACCCCTGACCCATCTCATTTATTCCTCTCCATTGAAACTCTCCCACCCCCTTCAGCTTTGTTTCACTTAAAGCCAGGACATCCAGTTTCTTCTCATTCATAACATCCACAATCATCTCTTTCTTATCATTTGCACAACATCCACGCACATTCAGACTTCCCACTTTGACAATTTTCTTCTTCTTATTCTTTTTAGTAATCTTTACAGGAAAAGGGGTTACTAGCCCATTGTTCCCGGTATATATATATATATATATATATATATATATATATATATATATATATATATATATATATATATATAATATATATATATATATATATATATAAATTTTGGCATGCAGTAAATTTCAGAATCATGAAGATGGTGCGTGTCGCCAAAACATAAATTTTAATAAATGGTTAAAAAAAAATCTTGTTCCCTTGACTCGCATTGTTTATTTTCGATGTTGTCATGGGCTACACTCCGTTGCTTTTAATTAACCGATAAATAAAACTTGCCCTGAGTGCCTTCTGTCTCATTATCAGTGAGTTATGAGGGAATGTGTACCATTCCAGGGCCAGCAGTGTATATACACCAAAAACTGTCAGTTTATATACATTTAGGGGTGTATATCTGTTTATTTTCATCCCTGATTAGTAATAAAAGCATTGTTAACGTTATTGCACAGGTGAAATGCTCTCAATGATCCTCGTGCAGTCCACAAGAAACAATACCATCTAAACTATCTTCCCACACAAATTGAGGGATCTCAGTCCTCCCTTGTATTATTATTATAGTCATGGGGAGCGCTGGACCTGTAGGGGGCATACAGAGCCTGGGGAATATGGAAGGAAATGACAGGTGATGTAAAACAGAGCATCTCTAATTTACTGGATCATAAGCCTTTCACAGGTGCTGGTGAGAGACTCCTGATCCAAGAACTGGATTATCACAACTCCACCCCTCTCATTCCACAGGACTTGTATTATCCTTATGAATTTTAATAATATTATTACTAGTAATAGAAGAAAGCGCTAAGCTCCCTTACGAGTACAGAGCTCCTCATGAACAAAATAATAGGAAAATAGAAAGAGTGAAGGTGCCAGAGGAATCCTTGAAGAAGAATTTTATTTTCTGTAATTTACTCTCACTTGTTGTTAAGGCTTGTGCCTCCCATACCATGACGTGGACGGTAGTCAAGGAATGACAGAGGCACATATGGGTTTATTCCAGTTTGATGAGAACAGTATTATAAAAATGGTCACTAAATAATAGATGAACTTGCCGAATAGGCCGAACCCCCTTAAAAATTAAACTTTTCCAAAAAATTATTTTATAGAACGATAGCTTTTTTGTTCATGGACAGTGATATGAAGATTAATATTATTGGACCAACACTTAGAAACCTCAACTAACTTCCCTTAAAATGTTCTGTGTGGTAATAACGAGGCTTTTAACAAAAAGAATTGATGTTTTATTATTATTACTATTACTACTATTATTATCATCACTAAACGGGTGCACACACAAAGGATGGGGGAAAGGAGTTAATTCTTGCACATAAACTGAAAGTAAGTATTGAAAATCTGATTTTATTACTAATGGTATATAACCACAAGTTATTGAACAAGACACTCGCTGGGTCTGCCAAAATGTTTCGCCTGCTCAGCAGGCTTCTTCAGTCGAATACAACACTGGAAACAATAGACATAATTCTGAGGTGATCAGTCCCTCGTTCTCGATAGGAAGAGGTCAGTCAATCACTCTAAAGCAGAGGCCTACTGCCAGGTCTCAAAAAGAGCAATGCTTGAGAGGTCGAAATATTGTTATCTGATTTATAACTGGTTGAACCCTTAGCACTCGCATCAGAGGTTGCTTAGCTACTGAGCAGATCTTTATGTGACTAGACCCATACCATGGGATATTCTCCTCTCCTTGAAAACAAAAAAAATGCGGTGGCCCGTGGTCTGGTGGTAAAAGCTCTCGCTTCATACGCTGAGTGTCCGGGTTCAATTCCCGGCGAGGGTGACAACATTGAGCGTGTTTCCTTACACCGGTTGTCCATGTTCACCCATCAGTAAAATGAGTACTTAGGCGTTGTGTTAGTCGACTGGTGTGGGTCGCATCCCGGGACAAAATTGACCTAATTTGCCCGAAATACTCTGCATGACAAGCTACTTTCTATATAGTAGTATGTCACTGATGTCAGCTATGCCTGTATACCTTGTACGTGCACTTGTAGAAATAAAGAGCTCATTAAATTATTATTAACACCACCGGTCAACACTGTGAGCGCCTGCGTGCCAGCAGCCAATCTTATGCTCCCACAAACTTAGCAGAGACCTCAGACATGATGGGCCGTAGACGTGGTAAGGTAGGAGGACCCCAGGGCGGGCTACCTCTGCTGTCGCTGCTGTTGTTCCTTCTGCTGTTCACCACTGTTGCAGCAAAGATTGTCGAGAGCCTTTGGGATGGCTTCGGCTACTACTACAAAATCTATGGCTACGCCATGAACAACTCTGCCGACTACCAGATGATGCAAGTCAACAACAGTTGTAAGTACCCTCGTTGCTGGGTTCTGAGAATGTAAACTTCAAGTTATCTGATCTAGGTTAGGTTAGATTACTGTAAACTAACCATCTAAATTTGCGTAATTAAACTGAAAACACAAAAAGTCGGAAAGAAAAATGCATGGACGGGGAAAATATAATCTAAAGGGAAAACAAACCGGTTAAATACACGATGAACCGTGTATATTGAAAATGTCGAGAAAAAAAAACACGTGTAATATGAGAATGACTTGAAATATCAGGAAACTTATTCTGTTTCCTGGTGAATAAAACAATAGCCATTCAGTCTGGCTGAATGATTGTGTTATAGAGTGAACGTGTTTTGTGGACGAGTCAATGAATGACGATACCTTGAAAAGCCATTCAAAAATCATCATTAAGGTGACCCATCGTCGCAGGGAAGAAATCAGAATTAATATGGCGATTCTGCTGTTAACTTTTGCCTTTGTTAAAGCGAAAATGAAGCATGGCTGACGAGTTGTAAAAGGATTTATATGTAGTATTGAACACTCTCAGTGGTTGCTGGTAACTTGTGTACCATACATAGATAAACAGCGTTTTTTGATACGTTGACGGACAATTAAAAATACGGAGTCGTGTGGAACATTCCGATAAATTATATATATTAGCAACAAAATCAACTCTACATACGAACGAATGATAAATTACCCATGAAATTATTAAACATTCCCCAAAAGGGAATGTCTGATAAAGTTGAAATACTTTTTTTTCTAAGAGGTTCCAATGAGATCATTTCAAAATGGTATATTGGAATGATGGGAGAGCTGAGTTACCGGAGACGGGGGATATCTCTCTCAGATTACCAGGCTGAAAAACATCTGGTTATTTTTATTATTGTGAAGGGCTAAATCTGTGTGGATCTTCATGGTTCTTAACTCCATTATTGTGCATGGGTGACTCTGAACTCCAGTATTGTGCATGGGTGACTCTGAACTCCAGTATTGTGCATGGGTGACTCTTACCGCCCCAGTACGCCGCATTTTAATTTATTCATGAACATGCACAAAAGCAATTAAGGTAATATAACAGGGTTGAACAAACCGTAACAACAGAATTACTGCTCTTACACAAAAGCATACAAATAACAAAGCACCGATCTTACAAAAAAAACATTGTACAGAACATCAATCTTTCATAGTTAAAAAAAATTCTTCATATTGACCTACAAATTAGTCAAAAAATGTATATGAGTAAAATAACGAAGTCTCCCAAGACGCGTTCCACATTATTACTATTCTTATAATCATAAATTAGGATTATTTTATATTTCTTGATGTAATAAACTGTTTTTATCTTTCTTATGCAAGTTAAAGGTCAGCTTTGATTATACACAGTAACACTGCCTCTAAGCTTAATTTCATGACTGAAGTTTTCTTCTATACCTGGAGAGGGTTTCGGGGGTCAACGCCCCCGCGGCTCGGTCTAAGACCAGTCCTCGTAGTGGATCAGGGTCTGATCAACCAGGCTGTTACTGCTGGCCGCACGCAAACTGACGTATGAACCACAGCCCGGCTGGTCAGGTAGCTGACTTTAGGTCCTGTCCAGTACCTTCTTGAAGACAGCCAGGGGTCTATTGGTAATCCCCCTTATGTATGCTGGGAAGTAGTTAAAACATCTTGGGCCCTGCATTTTTGTTTGTCTCTCGTGTACTCGGGGCCCCCCTTTTTTTATTGGGGAATGTTCATCACCTCCCAACCTTTGCTTTCTGGGATGTTTTTTCGTGTGCTATTTTTTTGGTATAATCCCTCTGGGGTTTTTCCAAGTGTATATTATCAGTATCTCTCCGCCTGCTTTCCGGGGAAATACAAATAAAGGGACTTCAACTGTTCCGTAATTTAGGTCCCTTTATCGTACTAATGTGTGCGTAAAAAGTTTTTTGTACATTCCCGGTACAATTTCCCCTCCCTTTAAAGGGGGGGCAGTTAGTTTTCAGCGTATTCCAGCCTTGAAGAACAAGCGATTTGGAGAATCATCAGGGGTTTGGCGCCCCTAGTTTTAAAGGGTTCTCATTATCCATCATATCTTTCTGTGCAAATTAAAAGGGGGACCAGAAAAAAAATTTTTGAGTCTTTATTTATAACCCGATTACATCTTTTTTTGTGTACTATTAGAACTTATATCGAGACCCGTGTAAAGTTTCAAAATATCGCCCAAAAAAGGAAATGAAATATGCAAAATTTACGAAAATTCTTTTGGGCAGTACTCAAGTACTCAGTGGTACTTGGAAAGTGGTTTTGAACTCTGATCAAAAACTTCTACTTCCATCCATATGTCAGTCCTCAAATTATATAAAAATCTTACATGTAAAAAACATAATCTTTCATAGTTTTTAAAAATTCTTGCATATTGACCTACAATATTAGTCCAAAAATGTAATATGAGTAAAATACGAAGTCCCAACGCGTTCCACATTATTAACTATTCTTATAATCTATAATTAGATTATTTTATATTTCTTGATTAATAAACGTTTATTTTAATGTAATACTTTCTTATGCAAGTTAAGGTCAGCTTCGATTTACACGGTAACTGTCCTCTTAACTTAAATTTCATGCTGAATTTTTCACTTTTCATACCTGAGAGGTTTTTGGGGTCAACGCCCCCGCGCTCGGTCTAAACCAGTCCACGTAGTGGATCAGGTCTGACAACCAGGCTGTTACTGCTGGCCGGGCACGCAAACTGACTTATTCCACAGGCCGCTGGTCAGTATGCTGACTTTAGGTCCTGTTTCCAGTACCTTTTGAATACAGCCAGTCTAATATGGTAATCCCCCTTTATGTATGCTGGGAGGTAGTTTGAATCAGTCTTGGGGCCCTGACACTTATTGTGTGGTTGTCGCCATTTTCTATTCCAGGGGTCGTTGGTACCTGCGCTTCCGCCCCCTGCTATTCTCATTGGGGAATGTTGCATATCACATGCCGAAACTTTTAGCTTTCATAAGGGGATTTTCAAATGTGCTATGTTGGTACTAATCCCTCTAGGATTATTCCAAGTGTATTTACATGTATCTCATCGGCCTGTCTTTTCCAGGGAATACAAATCAAGGTAATTTCAACCACGTGTTCCAGTAATTTAGTGCCTTATTGTAATAAGTTTGCGTAAAGTTTCTTTGTACACTCTCCAGGTCAGCAATTTCGCCTGCCTTGAAGGGGGCAGTTAGTGTACAGCAGTATTCCAGCCTTGAGAGAACAAGCGATTTGAGAGAATCATCATGGTTTGGCGTCCCTAGTTTTGAAGGTTCTCATTATCCATCATATCATTTCTGTGCAAATTATTAACGGTGTATGACCTTTGTGGGTCATACAGCGCTGTGTCCACAAACAAAAGTCAAAACCAGCAACGCTTCATTCAAAATTCCTGGGGAAGGATGGGTCGGAGCGTATTATCGAGCACTAACTCTAACTCCTTGGATGAAATGCACTTCATCAAAAGATCCTCTCGACAGGCCAGTATGACATACACTGGGAAATTCTTAATGTCAGTATACCAGGGACTAGGAGATTCTTAATACCAGTATACCTTGAACTGGAATACAGTCGCTAAATTCTTCATTTGTATCCGCCTTGATACTCTCTCACAGTTTGGTATCTCAACCCTTACTGTTCTTTCTGGAGTACTCTATTTTATCACTATAAGAAAGCACTAACCCCAAGCGGGCCACACAGCGCTAAACAGTAGGCAAAAGGCAGGTGCAGGAGAAGGCAGGTGCAGGAGAAGGCAGGTGCAGGAGAAGGCAGGTGCAGGAGAAGGCAGGTGCAGGAGAAGGCAGGTGCAGGAGAAGGCAGGTGCAGAGAAGGCAGGTGCAGGAGAAGGCAGGGCAGGAGAAGGCAGGTGCAGGAGAAGGCAGTGCAGAAGGCAGGTGCAGGAGAAGGCAGACGCAGGAGAAGGCAGGGCAGGAGAAGCAGGGCAGGAGAAGGCAGGTGTCAGGAGAAGGCAGGTGCAGGAGAAGGCAAGGCGCAGGAGAAGGCAGGTGCAGGAGAAAGCAGGTGCAGGAGAAGGTACGTGCAGGAGAAGGTAGGTGCAGGAGAAGGCAAGCGCAGGAGAAGGCAGGCGCAGGAGAAGGCAGGTGCAGGAGAAGGCAGGTGCAGGAGAAGGCAGGTGCAGAAGGCAGGTGCAGGAGAAGGCAGGCGCAGGAGAAGGCAGGTGCAGGAGAAGGCAGGTGCAGAAGGCAGGTGCAGGAGAAGGTAGGTGCAGGAGAAGGCAGGTGCAAGAAGGCAGGTGCAGGAGAAGGCAGGCGCGAGAAGGTCAGGTGCAGGAGAAAGCAGCTGCAGGAGAAGGTACGTGCAGGAGAAGGTAGGTACAGGAGAAGGAAGGCGGAGGGCGCAGAGAAGGCAGGTGCAGGAGAAAGCAGGTGCAGGAGAAGGTAAGTGCAGGAGAAGGTAGGTGCAGAAGAAGGCAGGTGCAGGAGAAGGTAGGTGCAGGAGAAGGTAGGTGCAGGAGAAGGTAGGTGCAGGAGAAGGTAGGTGCAGGAGAAGGTAGGTGCAGGAGAAGGTAGGTGCAGAGAAGTAGGTGCAGGAGAAGGTAGGTGCAGGAGAAGGTAAGTGCAGGAGAAGGTAGGTGCAGGAGAAGGTAGGTGCAGAAGAAGGCAGGTGCAGAAGAAGGTAGGTGCAGGAGAAGGTAAGTGCAGGAGAAGGTAGGTGCAGGAGAAAGCAGGTGCAGGAGAAGGTAAGTGCAGGAGAAGGTAGGTGCAGAAGAAGGCAGGTGCAGGAGAAGGTAGGTGCAGGAGAGGTAGGTGCAGGAGAAGGTAGGTGCAGAAGAAGGTCAGGTGCAGAAGAAGGCAGGTTCAAAAGAAGGCAGGTGCAGAAGAAGGTATAGTGTCAAGGAGAGGTGCCAGAGAGAGAGTAATGTGCAGGAAATGTAGTGCGGAGAAGGTAGGTGCAGGAGAAGGTAAATGCAGAGAAGTAGGTGCAGGAGAAGTATGGTGCAAATAAGGCATGTGCAGAAGAATTGGTTATGGTGTCAGGAGAAGGAAAGTGCAGGAAAGGTAGGGGCACTGGAGAAGCAGTTGAGAAGGTAGTGCAGAGAAGGTAGGTGCAGGAAGGCATGGCAGGAGAGGTAGGTGCAGAAGGTAGGTGCAGAAGGTCGGTGCAGAAGAAGTAGGTGCAAAGATAGCAGGTGCAGAAGAAGGCAGGTGCCGACCCAAAGTAGTGCATGGACGAGTGCAAAAAGGTCGTCAGGAAAGGTAGTGCAGAAGAAGGCAGTGCAGAAAACGTAGTTAGCAGGAGAAGGTAGGTTGCAGAAGAAGGTAGGTGCACAAGAAGGCAGGTGCAAAAGACAGGAGCAGAAGAGGTTAGGTGCAGAAGAAGGTAGGTGCAGGAGAAGGTAGATTGCAGAGTTAGTAGGTGCAGAGAAGGTAGGTGCAGGAGAAGGTAGGTCAGAGAAGGTAAGTGCAGGAAATAGTGCAGAAGAAGGCAGGTGCGAAGTAGTTGTGCACAAAAGGTAGTCAGGAGAAGTAGGGCAGGCAAGGTAGTCGGAGAAGGTGTGCACTGAAAGGCAGGTGCAGAAGAAGGTTAGTGCAGAAGAGGTAGGTGCAGGAGAAGGTTAGGTTGCAGAAGAAGTAGGGCAGGAAGGTATGCAGGATGTAGAGCAGGAAAGTAGTGCAGGTAAGGTAGGTCAAAGAAGGCAGGTGCAGAAGAAGGTAGAAGAAGAAGGTAGGTGCAGAAAGGTAAGTGCAGAGAAGGTTAGTTTCTGGAGAAGAGGCCATGCAAGAAGGTAGGTGCAGAGAAGGTAGTGCAGGAGAAGGTAGCCTCAGGCAAAGTTAGTTCAGAAGAGGCCAGGTGCAGAAGAAGCAGGTGCAGAAGAGGTAAGTCAGAAGAAGGTAGGCAGGAGAAGGTAGGTAGAAGAAGTAGTGCAGAAGGTAGGTGCAATGAGAACGCCAGAGAGTAAGTAACTCATATTCGTCAAATAACTCATCAGAGATATCATAGTAAAGGTGCACTCGGAGAGACTTATTTTCTGGAATAATCTCTAGTGGTACGTTATCAAATGCTTTAGTGAAATCCAAAAAGATGAGGCCCACCCATCACTCTATGGTCAATCTCCGCGACTTTGTATTTAAAATTTTGCATTATCCTTTGCGAAACAGGTAAATGTTTAATAAAAAAAAAGGGCATCTTGTTATACTGGGAGTTGTTGTTTGCTGCAGGTGAGTGCCGTCGTAGGTGCCAGGTGGTGCCTGAATGCAGCTCGGTATCGGTAGTGACACTAGAGGAGACATTTAGCAACAGGGACGGATAGTTTGTTCCGCTTCTCCACCAAACCTACACCACTTTCCAGCGTTAATGACTGACCCAAGCTCTCCTTCTTCCCGGCTTCCTTCCATTTCCTCTTCACAGGTATATATAGCAACAACTACTACTACAACTACCGCTACTATTAACACTAACACTAGTACTGTACTGCAGCTGCTTCAGCAACAGCAACAAATCCGATAAAGCTGTACATAAGACCCAGATGACGTTGAACAGTCATTCAACATTGGTTGGCAAAGACCTGAGATTGCAGTTTTTATATATTCAGTCTTAAAGCACTACATGTCTCAAAGCCAGAACGTTGTTACCGAGAAACTCGCACAATAATAAACTTTCTCTTCTCTTTCTTCTCATTTGACATCAAACTCTATCCAAATAAGCATTTAGCTAAGCACTCCCTGGTGACACAATGTTCTGGCTTTGAAAGATTTGGTGTTAGTTTCATGAAGCCAGAAAGTGGCTTATCGAAATGTCTTATTTGGATGGAGTTTGATGTATTATGACAGAAGTTGGAGAGTACTCAGGCTTGATCAAAGTTTTTTCTTTTTTAATTTTAATCAGGGGAAGCACTAAACCCATAAGGGATCATATAACAACTATGAAATGGGTGACATTCAGGTTCAATCCAAGGAAGGCGAGAATAAGTTTAGTTTCTTGGATCAAGAGCCCAATACAAGCATCAACGATGCAAGAGGACAGCTCCAATACCTTACATCAAGAGCCCTTCACCATTATTACATTCACGAGGAGTGCCAAACATATAGGAGCCTTACAGCCCCAGAGGAATGAAGATTGAGACACTTACGCAGTATATGGGAATCTTTATTCAGGAAACGTTTCGCCACACAGTGGCTTCATCAGTCCAATACAAAGAGGAAGGCGTAAGGAGAGGAGGAGTATGAGGTAATCAGTACCTCAACCTGGAGTCGATTCCAGGCTGAGGTACTGATTACCTCATACTCCTCCTCTCCTTACGCCTTCCTCTTTGTATTGGACTGATGAAGCCACTGTGTGGCGAAACGTTTCCTGAATAAAGATTCCCATATACTGCATAAGTGTCTCAATCTTCAACTTGTCGGTTTTTCAAACCATTCATCACACCCAGAGGAATGGGAGGTAGAGTCAATGTAAGGTGAAGGCAACTCCAATTCTGTAATAAGGATTATTATAATCAAAACTAAGCACTAAACCGACAAGGGTCACACAGTCTATGATAAAGAGCCCTTCATCTTCACTAAGTCACTCCTTGAAGATTATTATTATTATAACCCCCCTTGAAGAGTATGGGAAAACATACTGTATTATCAGTATACAATGTAACATTCTCCCTTGTCACTAATCAACATATAGTAAATTAATTAAGTCATCTCGTGTCTTATATAAAGAAATCATTTAATCTTCAGCAACATATTTTATGATGTCCTTGATAACAAAAAAACTTGTTTGAATTTATTCCTTCAGTAAGCACACTGTGGAAGTCAGTAGAGGATGATGGATTTACATACACACCAACAACATTTACGTTCTCATGGGGCTCACCTCCATCCTGGTGTAATAAAGTTGTCACCATTACAACCCTGGACCAGATGAGGATTATCATGAAGACAGCATCAAGTGAGTACCACATTATTATTACCGTATACTCACCAAGTTGTTTTACAGGTCGAGATTCCGTATCCATTAGAGCAGTGGTTCCCAAACTGGGGGTAAATTACCCCCTGGGGGTAATTTAACCATTTTTGGGGGGTAATGGAGGGGTGGCAGAAAAAAAGTTATGAATTCTGAAAATCAAGAAAACAATGCGGTACCCGGTATGAGGATTATTGTTAACTTTGTCTTAGTATATAAAAGTTGTAAAGTAAACCTATTATAAGTAAGTAATAAAGTTAAACCAAATAACAATAAACATCAAAAACTAATATACAGTATTAGAAAAGAAGAAATATATAGCTAAGTGTGTGGAAACCCAAAAGTATTTTGACAAGTATGCTTCAGGACAAAAGTCACTCAGTAGCCCAGATCGACCTGTCCCGTACGCGTCACTCACTTCCTGAGGCTGCCTCTATTTCACCTGTCAGTTTTATCTGTGAGCATCAGCCGAGGTAGACATAAGCGGTATGAAGCCAAGAATTCCTAAACTAGCTTCAAGTATGCAACTCCATCCATCCCACTGATGTTCTTGACATCTTTGGTAATAGTCATTAGAGATGCACAATGTTCAAATACAATAAATAAAAGAAAATATCTCAAGTGTTTCAATTTAGCCATATATATCAATAATAACAACATTTTGTGAAAGGGGTAACATGCTTTATGTGGCATGTTAAATTGGGTAACAAGCTGAAAAAGTTTGGGAACCACTGCATTAGAGAGTCACAAGTTAGATTCATAATTGAGCGACCTTGGTTTCCTACACCGGACCATGGCCTGAAACCTAACTGCTTTTTAACGGTAAATAATTTGTGCTCTTGCACAAACCAACATTGTTGTTAGGACCCCTACTACTTCTACTTTCACTACTACATTTACTTTCACTACAAACTACTTCCTTTCACTACTACCTTCTATTTTCCTACACTACTTCTACTTTCATACTACTACTTTATTTCACTACTTAACTTCTACTTTCCTACTACTACTTCTATTTCACTACAACTATTTCTACTTTCACACTACTATTTCTACTTTACACTATTTCTTCTACTTTCACTACTACTATTTTACTTTCACTACTACTATTTATTTCACTACTCTACTTCTATTTCACACTACTTTTCTATTTTTCACTACTAACTTCTACTTTCACTACTACTATTCTCTTCATATACTACTTCTACTTTCACTACTACTACTTCTATTTTCCCCTACCACTTTACTTTCATACTCTATTCACTTTACTATACTACTTCTACTTTCACTACTACTATTCTTTTTTTCCCTACTACATTTCTACTTTCACACTACACTTACTTTCACTACTACATTTCTACTTTCACTATACTACTTTATTTCACTATACTACTTTACTTTCACTACCTATTTCTATTTTACAAAATTTCTATTTTACTTTCACTACTACTTCTATTTTCATATACACTTCTATTTTCCACTACTCCTTCTACTTTCACTAACCACTTCCACTTTATTACTACTACGCCTTACGAATTCTACTCATTTCCGTTTTTCTCACTTCCACTTTTCTACTACTTCCACTTCTACATACTTCCAAATTCACTTTTACTACTTCCACTTTCACTACTTTACTTTCATTTTCCCCACTTTTCTACTATTCCATTTTCACTATTATACTTCCACTTTCACTACTATTTTCACTTTACTTCCCCCTTGATGTTGGTGAGGGAGTTTTGACCCAAGGAATGGGCCATACGCCTTTTTTTTGGATTTACTTTTATGCACATATTTTTGGGGTCAATATTATTGTTCAGAAAAGGTTTAAGGGGGTATCCCAAAGCCAAAAGATTACAACCCTGAGAAATAAAGAAAAAGGTGGTTTGACCAGATCAAGAGTTCTTCCCTGAAACCAAGAAAAACATTTTAACCTTTGGGGGTCGACAGGCCCTTTCCCGAAACCGTTCTCAGGTGGCCAAATTTTAAAAAAAAATTATTTTTCTTATAAAAAGATAGGAATTTTTTTCCCGATCATAAAGACCCCAAAAATTTAAAATTTGTAAAAATTTAGGAATTATGCTTCGCAAAGAGCGTTCGGGTGTTTACGCATGGCGTTTTTCCCCCACTTTGAGCCCCTTTTTGGGCCCAAATTTCACTGTATAGTGACAAAAAACTAAAATTTCCGTAGAACTCCTTTTTTCAAATCGAATGAGTGAAAGAAACCCCCTTTTTTAAAATTCAACATCCGACATTGGTCAGGAATTTTAGCAATTTTGCCAATTTCACACAAATTTCAAAAGATGCCAATTTCCGAATAGGGTCCAGAATAAACAAGAAAGACATTCCTGGCACTAAAAATGACATTTCCTCTAGTCATTAGTCACGTCTCAAGGCCCCTCTTATATTCTTTTTCTTTCCACTTTGAATTTTTATTCTCACAAAAAATATAAGATTTACTGTTATGCAGACTACTGCATTAGTGTAAAAAATGGTATAAATATTATTGGTGCACTTGTGAAAGAATATTAGACTCACCAGTTGACGTGTATTGCATGCTCGGCACGATTTGTTTACTTTTGAAGTTTGGTAAAAATCGAACATTTCTGCTACTTTGAGCTCAATTTCAAGGCACCTTTCATTGTAAAACCAGTCAAAATCATCTCAATTTCTGTAATATGTCTTCCATTCTATAAAATGAGACCAAGAAAACTAGAATACAACTATAAATACCATACGAAAATACACTGCAAAGTCGCTGATTTATTAAAAAAAAACGGTAAAAGTTTTTTTTTTCTCATTATGCACTGTGTGCTGCAGGATTTTTTTTAGACTGTGCACACTGACCACATAGACCCATTCTTTCATATGAAGGCCTACCAGCTTTCTCCCAATAGATTTGAGGCCGCTAGAATTTATGAGTACTAGTACGTCAAAAACCCCTACGCGTAAGACGTACTAGTACGACGAAAACCCTCAAAGGGTTAAAAGCTGTGTTACAGATGGAGAAATTATACATCGGTACATCAATGGGTAGAGAATGTACTGCACACACATCATAAAAGATCTTTCTATTTTTCCAGAAAACACGCCTTATAATGTGGATTTGTATCGTGGACCAAACAGCCAGCCAACTTGGAACCACCAAGAAGCCGCCATACCATACAACCAGACGGAGCTCGACCCAGCACGCATCGTTGACAACATGCCCTTACATTTGTCCTCCAAGTTCTACTTGCAACACAACGGCTCTCAGTACACTTTTATTGGTGGCTCTGGCACACCCTATACTGTCCTCTGTCAGCTCAATCCACTTAATCTGGCACAATAATATCACAACAACTTGCTTCTCTCACTCATCAACTACGGTTATCCTAATAGCTTAACCAACTTGAAAATGGCACTTAAAATGTGGCCTGATCATCCACTGTTTTCCTTAATTTGCTTGTGCAGTTGTATTATAGTTTTCTAAGTTAAACCATGTGAAAGATAACATAAGATAATTTAATTAAACTTCTACTTTCTGACGCTTATGCATTAATGTGCATATTAAGGCATTTGCATTAGTACAGCACTCGTCAGAAAGTAGTACTATAATAAGAACATAAGGAAGAAGAAACACTGCAGCAGGCCTATTGGCCCATGCAAGGCAGGTCCAAGTCACCTACCACTGACCCAACCTAAGTGGATGTGACCTAACTAGCTAGGTCTGGTCACATCCATTCAAGGAAGGAGCACGTCATCAGACCTATCAGCACAAGCTAGTCAGGTCCAGCTCGCACCCACTCGTGTATTTATCTAACCTATTTTTAAAACTATACAACGTTTTAGCTTCTATGACGGTACTCGGGAGTTTGTTCCACTCATCCACAACTCTGTTACCAAACCAGTGCTTTCCTATATCCTTCCTGAATCTGAATTTTTCCAACTTAAAACCATTGCTGTGAGTCCTGTCTTGGCTAGATATTTTTAGCATGCTATTTACATTCCCTTTATTTATTCCTGGTTTTCCATTTATACACCTCAGCCATATCCCCCGATTCTACGCTTTCTAGAATGCTGATTCAGGGCCCTCAGTCTATCCTCATAGGGAAGATTTCTGATACATAGGATCAACTTTGTCATCCTCCTCTGTACATTTTCCAGCACATTTCAATCCATTCTGTAATACTGTGACCAGAACTGTGCAGCATAATCTAAATGAGGCTTAGCCAAAGATATATAGAGTAAGGACAACCTGAGGAGGACTGTTATTTATGCTTCTTGATATGAAGCCAAGGATTCTGTTTGCTTTATTGCAAACACTTATGTACTGTTGTCTTGGTTTTAGATGTACTGCTAACCAGAACTCCCAAATCATTTTTGCAATCAGTAATATTAAGAGCTGCATTATTTAGTTTATATATGGCATGGTTATTTTCCTGTCTAACATTTAGAACTTTGCGTTTGTCTATATTAAACTGCATCTGCCACTTCTCCGATCACTGCATCAGTCTATTCAAATCTTCCTAGTGCTCTAATGTCCTCATTACAATGAATCAGGAGCCCTATTTTGGTGTCAACAGCAAACTTGCTTATGCTGCTATTTATTCCCTCATCTATGTCATTTACGTAAACTGTGAACAACAAAAGGCCCAACACTGACCCCCCTGGAACACCACTTGTGACGCACCCCCACTCTGATTTCTCCTCACTGATGCAAACCCTCTGCTGCCTGTCAACCATGCCTCTACCCAGGAAAAAATTTCTCATATTCCCTGTGCCTTAATTTTCCTCAATAGCCTCTGATGTGGAACTCTATCAAAAAACCTTACTGAAGTCTATATGCACAATATATCATATTCATTACCATGATCTACCTCCTCAAATACCTTTGTGAAAAAAGTTAGTAAATTCGTAAGGCAGGAATGTCCCTTTGTAAAACTGAGCTAAGATTCATTAATCAATTTATGCCTTTCAAAATGGCTACAAATTGCCTTGGCAATTATTGATTCCATAAATTTTCCCACTATGGAGGTAAGGCTTATTGGTCTATAGTTTGAAGCTAATGACCTGTTTCCTGCTTTGTAAATAGGTATTACATTTGCCATTTTGCTCTTGTCTGGCACTATGCCAGTTTGTAGTGATATGTTGAAAAGATTAGCCAAAGGTTTGCTAAGTTCCTCTTCACATTCCTTTAAAACCTTTGTAAACAGTTCATCAGGGCCTGGGGATTTGTTAGGTTTTAATTTCTCTATTTGTCTGAGGACCATGTCACTAGTTACCTTAATCGTGCATAATGCAATTTAAAAGCATCTTGTTCTACATAATTTATTATCTCTGGAATTTCGCTAGTACCTTCCTGCATAAAAACTGAGAGGAAGTGTTAAAAATTTCGCACATTTCCACATCACTGTCAGTGTTCTGACCCGAGTTACTTTTGAGTGGGCCTATCTTGTACCTAATCTTACTTCTATGTACAGTGGAACCTTGGTTTTCGTTTACCCTGGTTTGTGTCAGATTTGGTTTTTGACAACTTTTTACATCAAAATACAGTGGACCCCCGCATAGCGACCTTAATCCGTGCAAGAGGGCTGGCTGTTATGCGAAATGTTCGCTATGTGAATGAATTTTCCCCATAAGAAATAATGGAAATCAAATTAATCCGTGCAAGACACCCAAAAGTTTGAAAAAAAAAAATTTACCACATGAAATATACATTTTCCTACACACAAAGAGAAGGATACATGCACAATAGTAGAGTAGTACATGCACAATATATATTGTGCATGTACTACTCTACTAAATGAAGAATAAATGACACTTACCTTTATTGAAGATGCAGCAATGACTGATGAGACACTGTGTCCTGGGAGTGCCTTTTCCTCCTGAGTACTGTAGGTCCTGTTTGGTATTTTCTTCCAGAACAGGCCTTATCACACTGTGTATGTCACTACGATTCTTAAATCTCTCAAACCAACCTTTGCTGGCTCTAAATTCACCAATATGAGCACTAGTTCCAGGCATTTTCCCTGTTCACCTGGGTGTTAGTCGACTGGTGTAGTTGCATCCTGGGAGACAAGATTAAGGACCCCAATGGAAATAAGTTAGACAGTCTTCGATGACACTGACTTTTTTGGGCTATCCTGGGTGGCAAATCCTCTGGGGTTAATTGTTTCTTGGTATTCTCAATAAGCCACACCAACAACGGTGCTACAGCAGCAGCAGCAGCAGCTGACGATGTTACAGCAGCAGCAGACGATGCTACAGCAGCAGGTGCAGACGATGCTACAGCAGCAACTGACGATGTTACAGCAGCAGCAGACGATGCTACAGCAGCAGCAGCAGCAGACGATGCTACAGCAGCAGCAGCAGCTGACGGTGGTACAGCAGCAACAGACGATGCTACAGCAGCAACAGACGATGCTACAGCAGCAGCAGACGATGCTACAGCAGCAGCAGATGATGCTACAGCAGCAGCAGACGGTACTACAGCAGCAGGAGCAGCTGACGGTGGTACAGCAGCAGCAGCTGACAGTGCAGCAGCAGCTGACGGTGATACAGCAGCAGCAGCAGCAGCTGTACCACCAATAGTAGCGATGGTTGATTGGGGTTTATTATACAACCTGGCCAGCTCGGAGACACGCACTCCACTTTCATACTTATCAATGATCTTTTTCTTCATCTCCATAGTAATTCTCACCCTTATTGCTGTAGGGTTGGCACTAGAAGCTTTCTTGGGGCCCATGGTCACTTATTTTCCAGAAAAAAATCACCAAAAACACTGTAATAATACAAAATGTTCCGATTGTATGCTTGGATGTTACCGCGGAGGCTGGCTGGTAAACAATGCCACCCGCGGAACATGTGAGCGTGGCTCAGGCCGCACATTGGACGCGTCTCAGACGAAGGCCGCTGAGCGGGTTTTTGGGCGCTATGCGGGGCAAAATTTTAGCGATCAAAGCGTCCGCTATGCGGATTGTCCGCTATGCAAGGCGTCCGTTATGCGGGGGTCCACTGTATTGTCCCAGTTTTCGTTCGTCACCGCGTGTCCGCGCACCCACACCCACACAAAGCATCCCACCCATGAATTCTGAGTCAGTCTGGCTTTGTTTCTTGTCAAGTGAACATTACCCTGCACATTCATGCAAAACATTTCGTAATGATCGATTGTTTTTTGTGCTTGCTTATTGAGTGCCACTGTTAAATAAACTACCATGGGGCCAAAGAAGTTCCGAGTGCCAGCCCTTTGATAAAGAAGGTGAGAAACACGATGGAATTCAAGAAAGAACTTGTAGAAAAGTACAAAAGTGGCGTATGTGTGGTTGATCTCGCCAGTATGTACAGGAAGTCCTCATCAACGATCAGTTCCATCCTGGTGAAGAAAACAAGAAATCAAGGAATCTGATGCTGCGAAAGGGGTAAGTGTACTAATGAAAGAGATCGCCAATAATCGAAGACGTTGAGAAGTTGTTGTTGGTGTGGAGGTGATAATCCGTATGCAAGGCAGTTGCATACAGATCTTGTAAAGAATATGCCTGGAACGAGTGCTGCTGTTAGTGAATTTAAGGCCAGCAGAGGTTGGTTCAACAATTTCAAGAAGCGATCTGGCATACACAGTGTTAAGGTATGGCAAGGCTGCAAGTTCGGAAAAACAAGTCTTCAATAAAGGTAAAACTGATTTAAATGTAAATTTATCCAATAAAATTAGTGTTTTATATTTATTTCTCATTGTTTTCTGTATGTAAAACTATAGTTATTCTCTATAAAATGTATTTTTGTTAATATTTTTGGGTGTCTGGAATGGATTAATTGGATTTACATTATTTCTTCTATGAAATATTTCTTTAGTTTTCGTTGAATTTGGTTCTGTCAGACTCTCTGGAATGAATTAAAATGAAAACTGAGGTTCCACTGTACCTGAAAGAAACCTTTGGGTTAGTGTTTGAATCCCTTATGACTTTAGCCTCATAATATCATTTTGCTTTTTTTATTCCCTTTTTTATTACTCTCTTTAACTGAATATATTGATTTCTTAACTGCCCATCCCCTCCTTTGATATGCCTATATATGCCTCTCATTGACCAATGAGATATTGTAATCAATTATTTATCCATTTGGGATCATTTTTGTTTGATCTAATTTCCCTACTCAGAATGTAAGTTGTCTGGGCAGTTAGAACTATGCTCTGAAAAATGTCATATTGGCCACCATCACCACCTATCTGACCCATAGTCAGGTCATTCCAATTCAGCCCACCCTGGTAATTTCTCAGTCCTATGAAATCAGCCAAGCGGAAGTCTGGGACAGAGGCTCGATTGCAGTTATTTGGGTAATTCTATGATATATTGAAACTAAGTGATTTATGACTACTTTCCCCAAGCTCATCATTAACCTGCAGATTATTAACTAGTGATTCTTTGTTGGTAAGAACAAAGTTATGCAGGTTGTTTCCTCTAGGTGGTTCTGTCACAAACTGTTTAAAAAAGCAATCCTGAATTGTATCAAGAAAGTCACTAGACTCAAGAGTTCCTGTCATATTGTTCCAACCAATTTATCTAAAGTTAAAATTTCCCATTAACACAACCTTTTTGTATCTGGATGCCTTATGAATTTTGTCCCATAGCAGCTTACTGCACTCCCTATCAAGGTTTGGGGGCCCTATAAATCACACCCAAAATTAATTTTTCACAACCCTCGAGAAACTGTAGCCAAACAGATTCTGTGTTCAATGCTTCTAATCTTATATCTTGTCTAACACAACAATTTAAATTATCTCTGACATGCATCGCCACTCCACCACCCTTCCTGTTGACCCTATCATTGTGGAATAGTTTATAGTTTTGTATGTGGCAATCACAAGGCATTTCTTTATCTTTCAGGTTGAACTAGGTCTCCGTTATAACAATAATATCTATGTTACCTGCACATGCAAGTAATCTTAGCTCGTCTATCTTATTTCTTAGACTCTACTGTTAGTATAGTAAACATTAAGGGAGCGAGTCACTCGCTGCCCTCTACTATCTCTCTTTGATAATCTGTTGCTTTGCCTTTACTAGCAACTTTATTTTAAATATTGTCTATTAAACATATCCCTGAGGTATCCTGGTAATATCTGCTTTTTTCAACCTTTGTACTGCAGCCTCATTGTTTCCCACACACACCCATACCTCTATAATCTATCAGACTGCAGTCCTAGACAAGTTAGCAATGGCCCCCTTAATCGAGTTGGCTAATGCAACTACTCCAGCCCCAGAGATGTACCCCCATCCCTTGCAGTGAATGGGATTGCAAGTTCCTTGCTCATTATAATGCATTTCAAGAATTGTATACCCTAAGTGTATTGTTTATATTACACATACAGCCTCTCCTCACTTAACGATGGAGTTCCACTCCTTAGACCACATCGGCAAACGAATTCATCGCTAAGTGAGGAGCATACTATAATGGTAGTGGATTTGTGTCGACCATCTTTAATACTGTTTTAATGTCATCTTTGCACCATTTATAACATTTTTAGTATACAGTGGACCCCCGGTTAACGATATTTTTTCACTCCAGATGTATGTTCAGGTGCCAGTACTGACCGAATTTGTTCCCATAAGGAATATTGTGAAGTAGATTAGTCCATTTCAGACCCTCAAACATACACGTACAAACGCACTTACATAAATACACTTACATAATTGGTCGCATTCGGAGGTAATCGTTATGCGGGGGTCCACTGTATTTTTAAATGTTTATACAGTAGTGTATTGTATATCGTAATAAACAGAATACAGGAAGGCCCCACTTATACGGCGGGTTAGGTTCCAGGCTACCGCCGTAAAGCGGAAATCGCCGTAAAGTGGAACACCCTTTTTTTCCACTTATAAATGCATACAAACACTAGATAACAAGTTTACACTAACATATATTAAGTTAGCAATAGAACCAGGCATCAAAAAACAATAAAAAGGTACAATACACACATAGTGCACTCATTACTTACCTTAAAATATTTATAGTCTTAATCTAGGGTGAGACAAGTAGTATTTATTGTAAGAAATCAAGTGTGGTATGTATTGTAATAGCCTCACCAGGCACCCCACCCACACATACTATTCTATGATATTTAAGCATCCAGAGCGATAAAATGTATATACAGTTCACTCATTACTTACCTTAAAATATTTGTAGTCTTAATGTAGGGTCAGGAGTAAGTAAATGAGATAAAAGCGAATAAATGAGAGAGAGAAAGAATGAATACATGAGAGGGGGCGGGGCGCAGTTATGTAAACAAACCAGGCGAAGGTAAGTTTTGTAAACAAACGAAGTGTACACGTCTGGTTTGTGTACAAGTTACATTGTGTACAGGTTGTCTCTACATTGATACGGTAGAATTAATAAAGAAGAACACTCCCATTCTCATGTAACATCATTTTGAGAAGAAATGAAGCTCTGAGTGAAGGCAATGGAAATAAGTCACACTGACTTTTTTGGGTTATCCTAGGTTCTCTACACGTATGTTGTTATGTATGATAATCTATGTAACTGTATTTGTGTATACCTGAAAAAAACTTACTTACATACATACGAAAGGAATAATTTTCTACAGTTACCCCCGGGTAACACATTTACTCTTATGTTAGATTAGAGAAAATGTTATTTTTGGGCGTCACTTGTACAAGTTATGTGGCTCCCACATCTTATATTTATTTTTTATTTATTCTATTGTGGGGTGTATTTATCTTATTTATATGTTATGCATCGTGTTTATTATATAATTTTGAAAAAAATATCATGGATGGATTAATGAAAATGTGTATATTACCGTAATATACGACATTTAATGAGACTCGTGACTATTGTTATTATGGCGTCACTTGTGGAAGTCGTCTGCTACCAGAGATCACATTTATGTTTATTTATTCTACTGTGGGGTGTATTTATCTTATTTATATGTTATGTATAGTGTTTATTATATAATTTTGAAAAAAATATCATGGCTGGATTAATGAAAATGTGTATATTAACGTAATATACGACATTTAATGAGACTCAGTATTGTTATTATCACCACTTGTGGAAGTCGTCTGCTACCAGAGATCACATTTATGTTTATTTATTCTATTGTGGGGTGTATTTATCATCTTTTTATGTTATGTATCGTGTTTATTATATAATTTTGAAAAAAATATCATGGCTGGATTAATGAAAATGTGTATATTAACGTAATATACGACATTTAAATGACTTGATGTATGTAAGTTTATTTAGGTACAGGTATACATAAGTATAATTATCAGAGTATATATAAAATATGAAATAACTTTTAAAAACATTTGAAATTTTGGAGTTTCCAGACAAAATGGAGAGACTTAGTGCTTACTGAGCTCATGGAGAATGTAAACAAACAGGGTGGGGCACGGTGACCGTATTAGAAAGTCAGGTGGGGGGAGCCGTATAGTGAGTTTTGGTCATAATTTGAAATGTCCGTATTAGCGGAACGCCGTAAAGTGAAACGCCGTAAAGCGGGGCCTTCCTGTAGAGGAAATTAGCTCTAATATACATTACAGTATTTAGGTTTGTATACTGGTCAGAGAGCCCATTGTAAGTCTGAGACGTCGGTAAACAATTACATCACTAAATGAAGAGAGCCTATACTGTAAAATATTTGTTTACCTTGCCCTATTATATCAAGAAAACCCTCCTCTATGCTTAAGATGTACTCTATTAGATTAAAGTTTACCTAAATTAACCAAGCTCAGTCAAGTAACTGGCAAAACATTACCACAGAGAACATTATGTTGATGTAATAGCAACCAGGAAAGCATAGTTAGAAGTCCAATAAAATATAAGCAAATGATAAGTAAACCATTTCATGCCATCACTTTGAAAAACTGTGAAAAGTTATACAAAAGTACGTATTCAGGTTTTTCACGTCCCTAATATTCACTGTGATTATTTATGCATGATGTAAGTATTTGCAGTTACGTGTTTTATAACAGTACATTCTACACACTGGCTGTCTCCCACCAAGCTAGGGTCACCCCCCAAAATAAGGAAATGCATTTACCATCATTCCTTCAATCACTGTTTTGCCATAAGTGTGCTCACTTAACAGTTTAGATGGTCCTCTGAAATGTAGCATACCCCTTCTTCAGAGCACAGGAACCATGTTTCCCACCTTCAGGACTTGATTCCAGCTAGCCAGTTTTCATAAATGTAACCTTGTTTGCAATCTAACAGCATATTAAGCCATAAAAAACCACTTGTCTCCACTCACTCCAATCTAATATATTTCCAGAAGCCTGCTGGATGTTCAAGCCCCTAGCACCTAAAACCTTTAACCCCACTCTTTCCAACCTTTCCTGTACTTGCAAAGAATGATGCATATTATTTGGGATAATCTGAACACACTTGTCAAAAATAGGTTCATCTTTCATAAAAGCTTTAATGTTCCAAATGTCAGACTATTGAAACAATAACAATCAACAAATAAATCCATTTCTCTTCCTGCTTGTTGCAGTCTTAATATTTATTATAAATCTATGAGTTCAATGATAATTTTACACTCATAAATAATTAGTCATACTATTATTATCTGATATGTTATGAATGTCTTAAAATAAAGCTCTCTCTCACTAATGCTAGATAAGTCAAAAATATTTAAAATTTTACAGTTTTAAATAATTGGTCCTATTATTCTACTAATATATCTTATATGTTATTAACCCTTAAACTGTGACATACTAGGAAATAAAATTTCCTGTTTGTCAAAATTTAAAAAAAAAAAAAAAATATCATATAGTTTGAAACATTTTGCTTTTCTGAACAGAATAAAACAATAGTAATGCAATCAAGCTAAGCACTAAGCCTGAAAGGGTTATACAGAACATAGAATGAAACAAAATTAAACAAAATTCGATGATAATTTATAATTTTATGGGGTGTTGAAGCTGGTGAAAAATGATCACTTGTTGGCAACAGCGGTGCAAATTCTTCATTGGTACACATATGTATACATTTTTCAATTTATTGATGCCATTATTTTTCTTTTTCTTGGTCATTTCAATATCTAAAACTATGTACAAGTTTCTAATGATATTATATGTATTGCATAAAGTTTTACAAGTGTTTCAAACATAGGGAAATGCATCTCCTGACACTGCCCCACTTGAAATATACAATATAAATTGGTACAAATAATTGTTTTTCCATCTTTTTTTTTTATTGCCTTCATCTTCTAACCCTATGTACAAGAAAATCTTATGATATTACAAATGTTTCAAGGTGTGAGACTCCTCTGAACATGGTAATGAGTTGTACTCTTTGACCGTTATCCTGGGTTAATTATTATGTCATATTTATGGAGAAGTGGTCAACCCAGTGGGGTCATACAGTGCCAGGGAAATAGAAGGAATTAGATTCAATCCAAGGACTAGGAAAAGGATTATCATTATAATTAAGGGAAAGCACTAAGCTTGTAGGGGTCATACAGTGCCTGGGGAATGGGAATCACACAGGATCAGTCCAAAGAAAGGAAGGGACAAGTCCAATTCCTTGGATCAAGAGCCCCATCATATTCCCTTGAGGGAATATCCTGGATTCAATATACATAATGCACTATGTGTGTCCATAACACCTGTGCACTCAAGAGAACTGTAAAAAATATATTACAAAGAAGTCTTAATACTGTATGAAGGCGTGATACTCCTTGAAACATAGAAATAAGTCACCTGTTTTGACTAGACTCTTAGCATCATGAAATTGTAATGAATTTGGAGTGAATAAGGCATCTATCTGCCAATTCCACACCCTGTTGTTGGTAAGGAAGGTGGCAGTGGCACAATCAAATCCACTGTGTGGATGAGCCTGGTTTTAAATTTTTTCCCAAGTGTGAGGAGATAGTGGGCATCCAGTTGGGCTAAATTTAAATATATCAACAGGCTGCATACATGAAGGCACAAGAAATTAGTGCTTAAGTACATTGTACACACCTTGGTCCCTGGTATACAGGTACTTTGTACACAGTTTAAGGGTTAATATCTAAAAGGAAAAACTCTTTCTAATGCTATGCAACTCAACACTGCTTACAGATGTGCAACACTTCATGCTAAACTGAAGCTATAATGCTGAATTTCACTGCTTCTGATGAAGTTGATAGAACATATTATCATAGATGAAACTGTGAGTAGAAAAAATCCTGCAAAATGCCTACCAGTGTATGTCATGATTATCACTCTGTCACTTTCTTATTGTTAAAAAGAACTGCATTCCAAGGATGAGTAAAACAATTTTCTTTCATATGACCCTATTAACCCTACACTTGTCTAGCTCTTGTACTTGTTATAACTAATATTATATTGTGGCAGTTGATAAACAGCTATAAGCAAAATACTTTATCATTAAGGCACTGTCCCCGGAACCATTCTGTCAGCAGAGTATTTTCTGGAGTAAGAAGAGTCATATTAGCAGCATCATGAGCATGGTCAGGATTAATAGGTTCAGGCACTATGCGGCGACATGCCCCCCGCTGCTGATGCTCTAAGTATGCACGAGATAAGTCAGCAAGCTGTTCTTTTGAGAGACATGGAAAGCATAGTTGACATTCAACTTTGCTGCATGCACTAGTACTATCCTGACAATTTGTCATACAATGGTCAGGAAATACCATAATATCTTTAGGTGCAACCTGCATTTCATACTCGTCAGAAGAATGTGAGGCCAGACTACTAGAGTGTACAGCACGGCCCACTCCAACTAAAGAAAGTAGATTGTAAATCACCTGCTCATAAAGGAGACGATTCTCCTTGAAGTGAGCAGATGAAAGATTGGGTGACATGTTGGCCTCCATTAAGTGAACTTTAAGTTGATCATCGACGACAAAATCAAATCGCATCATTTCAAAAAAATTTGAAGAGCTGGGGTAGTGCGATGTGGCCTCCATAAGTGCTGCCTCTTTTCCATAACACACATTACGAATAGCATCCCGTACAGAATTCCACACCATCTCTGGATTCTACAAAAAGAAAGTATATTTATACAAGGTTACCTGTCAAATTTGCCTCAATAAATATAAAAATTACAAAGAAAACTGCTGAAGGCAACAAAAAATTTTAACATTTTATCATTAGGAAAATAATGGCTGATAGCCAACAATTCTGCACTGTATATATTGTACTGTACTTTGGTACATTTTATATTACCTGGAGTTTACCTGGCGAGGGTTTCAAGGGTCAACGACCTGTGATACAGTTCTGTTTATAAAGGATAAAGTATTTCTTCAATTTTCAATAGGATAGTAAACCCTTGATATAATGGACCTCAATATAAATGACACTGATATAACAGACTTCTGAAATAGCAGAAAATCCACTGGGTAAATTGCACTTTTAATTATTTATTTTACAATGTTTATTGCAGTATATCTGTAAATTGTTTTACATGATGGTAGGATTGCTGGTGTCCTTTTTTCTGTCTCATGAACATGCAAGATTTCAGGTATGTCTTGCTACTTCTACTTACACTTAGGTCACACTACACATACATGTACAAGCACATATATACACATCCCTCTGGGTTTTCTTCTATTTTCTTTCTAGTTCTTATTCTTGTTTATTTCCTCTTATCTCCATGGGGAAGTGGAACAGAATTCTTCCTCCGTAAGCCATGCGTGTTGTAAGAGGCGACTAAAATGCCGGGAGCAAGAGGTTAGTAACCTCTTCTCCTGTATATATTACTAAATGTAAAAGGAGAAACTTCCGTTTTTCCTTTTGGGCCACACCGCCTCGGTGTGATACAGCCAGTGTGTTGAAAGAAAGATCTGTAAATTATATGCACTGTACTATATTAGTTATAGAGTACTCTAAAGCTTTTTTTTTTATGACCGAGATTCAAAATTTGGCTAAATGAAAAACTTGTCATATTATCCTAATGCCACAATATTTTGAAAAAGCAATAAATGACATGCCCATGCACTCTGCCCCAGGTCCAGACTTGTGGAACTCTGTGGTCATCAAGAACAAGAACAACAAGAAGCCCCTTTCATGTATCTGAAGTACTCTATGGAGAGGGAGCATGGACATAGGTCATCCCACAGTCACTAAAAGCAACAGACATAGCCCTACTCCACAAAGGTGGCAGTAAAGCAATTGCAAAGAATTACAGACCAATAACAATAATGTCCCACACCATAAAAATCTTTGAAAGGGTTCTAAGAAGCAAGACTGACACCCATTTAGATACCCATCAGTTGCACAACCCAGAGTAGCATGGGTCTAGAGCAGGTTGCTCCTTCATATCCCAACTACTGGACCACGATGACATGTTCGTGGATACTCTGGAGAACAAACAAAATGCAGATGTAGTATACACAGACTTCACAAAAGCCTTCAACAAGTGTGATCATGGTGTAGTAACACAAAATGCATGATGAAGGAATAACAGGAAAACTTGGTAGATGGATTTATAACTTCTTAACAAATAGAACACAGAGTAATAGTAAACAGAGTAAAGTCAGAGGCAGCTACAGTGAAAAGCTCTGTTCCACAAGGTATAGTACTCGCTCCCATCCTGTTCCTCGTTCTCATATCTGACATAGAGATGTAAGCCACAGCATCATGTCCTCCTTTGCAGTGTCATCCATTGAAGACACTGCAAGGCTCCAAGCGGAAATCAACCAAATCTTTAAAGAGGCCACAGAAATCAATATGAAATTCAATGAACACAAATTTCAATTACTCTGCTAAGGAAAACTTACGGAAGTTAAAACTGTATCGGAGTATAAAATAAATTCCAACCACACAATAGAGCAAAACACTAATGTGAAGGACCTGGGAGTGATAATGTCAGAGGATCTTACTTTGAAAGATGACAACAATGTATCTACCACATCTGCTGGGAAAATGATAGGACAGATAATGAGAATCTCAAAACTATGGATTCCATGCCAGTGATGATTCTCTTCAAATCACTTGTTTTCTCTAGGCTGGAATATTGATGTACACTAACTGCCCCTTTCAAGGCAGGCAAAACTGCAGACTTGGAGAATATACAGAGAACTTTCATGGCATTTATAAGTACGATAAAGCACCTAAATTACTGGAAGCAGATGAAGTCCCTTCATTTGTACTCCCTGGAATGCAGGCAAGAAAGATAAATGGTAATATACACTTGGAAAATCCTAGAGGGACTAGTCTCAAATGAGCACACAAAAATCACTCCCTATTAAAGCAAAAGACTTGGCAACATCCCCCCAATGAAAAGCATTGGTGCCACAAGTATGCTAAGAGACAACACAATAAGTGTCAGGGGCCCAAAACTGTTCAACTGCCTTCCATCATACATAAGGGGGATTACCAATAGACCCCTGGCTGTCTTTAAGAAGGTACTGGACAGGAACCTAAAGCCAGTACCTGACCAGCGACGCTGTGGCTCATGTGTCGGTTTACGAGCAACCAGCAGTAACAGCCTGGTTAACCAGGCCCTGATCCACCACGAGGCCTGGTCACGGATCAGGCTGTGAAGGTGTTGATCCCCAAAACCCCCTCCAGGTATACTAGGTGGAATCCCCATGTTGTCTGTTATGTGGCACAATGGTAGCTCAAGAAGAACCATAAAACGTAAGTTAATCTTTTTAACCCTAATGATAACTGCAGCAGTAAAGTGTTTTCAGGGTAACTTTATATAACCATCTTATCTGGTTAAGGTGAATACTTTTTTTTAGCCTTAAGCAACAAACTGATATTTACATTATTCTGATTTTTTACGGCTGCTATTTCCTACTAAGGTAAGGTAACGTAAAATGTGTGAGAATCACAAATTAATCCTTATAATAAAAAACTAGGCTCACCTTATCCTGAGCTCGTAGCCATGCATCAAATGAACGTCTCATGCCAAAGCCAAAATCCTTGTAGTACTGCTTTAATGATGGAACTTTCCACGTTGGGAGGTAGTCATCCCCAACAACATATTTGTCACGGATCTCAGGATCAAAAGGATGGTACTTTTCTGAGCAGAATCTAGAACATTAGAAAACAAGGTATCAGTTATTTGAATAGAATTACATGAATACAGTAGGGCCCCACTTATATAGCAGGCTACTGCCGCAAAGCAGAATGCCATTTTTTCCACGTACAAATGTATATAAATGCCAGATAACGAGTTTACACTAACATATATTAAGTTAACAATAGAACTAGGCATTAAAAAACAATAAAAAGTGAAATACACACACAGTACACTCATTATTTACCTCAAAATATTTGTAATCTTAATGTAGGGCAAAAGGTGAGTAGTATTTACTGTAAGAAGTCAGGTGTGGTAGGTAGGGTAGCCCTCCTGGCCACCCCACCCACACATAATATACTATGATGCTTAAAGTGCCCTAAAGTGATAAAATGCATATACAGTACACTCATTACTTACCTTAAAATATTTGTAGTCTTAATGTAAGGTGAGAAGTGAAAAGTACTTATTTTGTAGAAAGTCATGTGGGAGGTAGGGTAGCCCACCTGGCCATCCCACCTACTACGACATTTAAAGTGCCCTAGAGTGATAAAATGCATGTTCATACGCTCATTACTTACCTTAAAATATTTGTAGTCTTAATGTAGGGTGAGAGGTGAGAAAGCGAGATAAAAAATGAATAAACGAGAGAGAGAGAGAGAGAGAGAGAGAGAGAGAGAGAGCATAATGATGTCAGCGAGGTAAAGTCAGTTGATCACATGGAAATGCTGGCCCACAGATGGCTCCAACTTCATCCTGTTCCCTACTTGTATGTCTCATAACAATAAAAATACTTTCAAATGAGCTGATGTAGGTAACAGCTCTTAGCTTGCCAATAAAGTTGGGAATCCTTAACCTGTAAATAGCTTGTCAATAAAGCTAGGGATCCTTAACCTTGTCAAACCCTGTGTAAAAAAAAAAAAAAAAAGAGAGAGAAAGAACCAGTAAGAGGACAGAGCCGCAGAATACTTATGTAAACAAATGCGTCTGGTTGTGGTTGATACACATTCACACAAACAACTTACATTGTGTACAAGTTGTGTCCACAGTGGTACAGTAGAATAAATAAACACCAACACTTCCATTCTCATGTAACATCATTTTTAGAAGGAATGATGCTCTGACACATTATTATTATTATTATTACAAATTATTATTACAAGTTATAATTATCACAAATTATTATAATCATAATTAAAAAGAAGCGCTAAACCCACAATGGTCGTGAATAGCTAGAGTGAAGGCATGCAAAAGGAATATTTTTCTACAGTTAAGTAACTGGTGTTTGACTAGAGAAAACGTAATTCTTCTGACACTACAAACTGCTTGGTAAACAAATCTTATATTTATGTCAATTTTTTTATACTGTGGGTGTATGTATCGTGTATGTTACGTAGTACATTTATTATATAATTTTGAAAAAATATCACAGATGGATTAATGGAAATGTCTGTATAAACATAATATATGACATTCAATCCGCCCAAGAGATTATTATATGGCGTCAAGAGTAAAGAGACTCTTAGTGATTTTAACGTGTACCTGTACGCCATCACAGTGTGTAAGTATATTTAGGTACGGGTACACAATTATAATTATCAGAGAACATATAAAATATGCAATAACTTTAAAACTCTTGAAATTTTGGAAAATTTCCAGACATAATAGAGAAGTGCTCACAGAAAATGTAAACAAACCGGGTGAGGCATGCCATATTAGAAAGACCACTCACTGTATAGCAAGTTTTGGTCATAATTTGAAATCGCTGTATTAGCGGAATGCCGTAAGGCGAAACACCATAAAGTGGGGCCCTACTGTATCTTAAAATAATCATAAATTTCACTGGCAAAAAAAAAAAAAAAGGACATTCCACAAATTCCATTATCAGGTTATCTAGGGACAACTAAACAACAATTTCTGGTGGTAAGTATTATCATTTGTGATAACTTACCTAAAAAGAACATCTCCTTCATATAAATACACCCTAAGAGGTTGTATAGAAGTGATAATCGTATACACTCCAATGTCAAACTTGTGCCCATCCACAAGAAGTGGATTATGGACAAATTCTTGGACAAAAGATCCCTCAGCTCCCAAGTCCAAGGCAATCAGTTTCTCAATTTTAATACCCCGATGGTTGTTGGATTTCTGCACAAACATCATACTGGGGTTCTTCTTGGCATATTCCAAGAGTTGAGATTTCTCAGCTGGCATCCTGAAGGCTTTAGGAATATGGGGCAATCCAGAAACGGCAAGATTAACTTTATTAGTTATGAAGCCTGAGCCAGGAAAATGATTAACTCTTTGGTGAGGTTTGAGATGGGTCATCATCTGTTTGAGTTCCTTAAAGGGATAGTTATGAGACCAAAGAACATCCCAGTCCTCACCATCATCTGCCAGGTCATAGCCTAGCCTAGTAAAAACGTTGGTGACGTGAGTCAGGTACCCTGAGCCCTTGTTAGAACCACGGACCCAAGCCACAGGCCGTGCATAATGACTCATCCCTCGTGCCTCTGCCACTGCCTCACCTGCAACATGAATTGGATAACATGAAACTTAGAAAATTTTGTCTGATTATAGTTACTTACATTTAATTTCATAATAATTTCTTCATTAAAATATTTTATGAGGTACTCTTGTAGACCATAATTTTTGTACCTTGTCACACTAACAGCTTCCCCCTTGATTATAATAATAATAAACACGTCTCATAAACACGCTAGATAACAGGGATATCTTGCTACTCCTACTAACACTTTGGTCACACTTCACAGACACGCACATGCATATATATATACATACATCTAGGTTTTTCTCCTTTTTCTAAATAGTTCTTGTTCTTCTTTATTTCTTCTATTGTCCATGGGGAAGTGGAAAAGAATCTTTCCTCCGTAAGCCATGCGTGTCGTATGAGGCGACTAAAATGCCGGGAGCAATGGGCTAGTAACCCCTTCTCCTGTAGACACTTACTAAAAAAGAGAAGAAGAAAAACTTTATAAAACTGGGATGCTTAAATGTGCGTGGATGTAGTGCGGATGACAAGAAACAGATGATTGCTGATGTTATGAATGAAAAGAAGTTGGATGTCCTGGCCCTAAGCGAAACAAAGCTGAAGGGGATAGGAGAGTTTCAGTGGGGGGAAATAAATGGGATTAAATCTGGAGTATCTGAGAGAGTTAGAGCAAAGGAAGGGGTAGCAGTAATGTTAAATGATCAGTTATGGAAGGAGAAAAGAGAATATGAATGTGTAAATTCAAGAATTATGTGGATTAAAGTAAAGGTTTGGATGCGAGAAGTGGGTCATAATAAGCGTGTATGCACCTGGAGAAGAGAGGAATGCAGAGGAGAGAAAGAGATTTTGGGAGATGTTAAGTGAATGTATAGGAGCCTTTGAACCAAGTGAGAGAGTAATTGTGGTAGGGGACCTGAATGCTAAAGTAGGAGAAACTTTTAGAGAGGGTGTGGTAGGTAAGTTTGGGGTGCCAGGTGTAAATGATAATGGGAGCCCTTTGATTGAACTTTGTATAGAAAGGGGTTTAGTTATAGGTAATACATATTTTAAGAAAAAGAGGATAAATAAGTATACAAGATATGATGTAGGGCGAAATGACAGTAGTTTGTTGGATTATGTATTGGTAGATAAAAGACTGTTGAGTAGACTTCAGGATGTACATGTTTATAGAGGGGCCACAGATATATCAGATCACTTTCTAGTTGTAGCTGAGAGTAAAAGGTAGATGGGATACAAGGAGAATAGAAGCATCAGGGAAGAGAGAGGTGAAGGTTTATAAACTAAAAGAGGAGGCAGTTAGGGTAAGATATAAACAGCTATTGGAGGATAGATGGGCTAATGAGAGCATAGGCAATGGGGTCGAAGAGGTATGGGGTAGGTTTAAAAATGTAGTGTTAGAGTGTTCAGCAGAAGTTTGTGGTTACAGGAAAGTGGGTGCGGGAGGGAAGAGGAGCGATTGGTGGAATGATGATGTAAAGAGAGTAGTAAGGGAGAAAAAGTTAGCATATGAGAAGTTTTTACAAAGTAGAAGTGATGCAAGGAGGGAAGAGTATATGGAGAAAAAGAGAGAGGTTGGTGAAGCAATGTAAAAAGAGAGCAAATGAGAGAGTGGGTGAGATGTTATCAACAAATTTTGTTGAAAATAAGAAAAAGTTTTGGAATGAGATTAACAAGTTAAGAAAGCCTAGAGAACAAATGGATTTGTCAGTTAAAAATAGGAGAGGACAGTTATTAAATGGAGAGTTAGAGGTATTGGGAAGATGGAGGGAATATTTTGAGGAATTGTTAAATGTTGATGAAGATAGGGAAGCTGTGATTTCGTGTATAGGGCAAGGAGGAATAACATCTTGTAGGAGTGAGGAAGAGCCAGTTGTGAGTGTGGGGGAAGTTCGTGAGGCAGTAGGTAAAATGAAAGGGGTAAGGCAGCCGGGATTGATGGGATAAAGATAGAAATGTTAAAAGCAGGTGGGGATATAGTTTTGGAGTGGTTGGTGCAATTATTTAATAAATGTATGGAAGAGGGTAAGGTACCTAGGGATTGGCAGAGAGCATGCATAGTTCCTTTGTATAAAGGCAAAGGGGATAAAAGAGAGTGCAAAAATTATAGGGGGATAAGTCTGCTGAGTATACCTGGTAAAGTGTATGGTAGAGTTATTATTGAAAGAATTAAGAGTAAGACGGAGAATAGGATAGCAGATGAACAAGGAGGCTTTAGGAAAGGTAGGGGGTGTGTGGACCAGGTGTTTACAGTGAAACATATAAGTGAACAGTATTTAGATAAGGCTAAAGAGGTCTTTGTGGCATTTATGGATTTGGAAAAGGTGTATGACAGGGTGGATAGGGGGGCAATGTGGCAGATGTTGCAAGTGTATGGTGTAGGAGGTAGGTTACTGAAAGCAGTGAAGAGTTTTTTACGAGGATAGTGAGGCTCAAGTTAGAGTATGTAGGAAAGAGGGAAATTATTTCCCAGGAAAAGTAGGCCTTAGACAAGGATGTGTGATGTCACCGTGGTTGTTTAATATATTTATAGATGGGTTGTAAGAGAAGTAAATGCGAGGGTCTTGACAAGAGGCGTGGAGTTAAAAGATAAAGAATCACACACAAAGTGGGAGTTGTCACAGCTGCTCTTTGCTGATGACACTGTGCTCTTGGGAGATTCTGAAGAGAAGTTGCAGAGATTGGTGGATGAATTTGGTAGGGTGTGCAAAAGAAGAAAATTAAAGGTGAATACAGGAAAGAGTAAGGTTATGAGGATAACAAAAAGATTAGGTGATGAAAGATTGAATATCAGATTGGAGGGAGAGAGTATGGAGGAGGTGAATGTATTCAGATATTTGGGAGTGGACGTGTCAGCGGATGGGTCTATGAAAGATGAGGTGAATCATAGAATTGATGAGGGAAAAAGAGTGAGTGGTGCACTTAGAGTCTGTGGAGACAAAGAACTTTGTCCTTGAGGCAAAGAGGGGAATGTATGAGAGTATAGTTTTACCAACGCTCTTATATGGGTGTGAAGCATGGGTGATGAATGTTTGCAGCGAGGAGAAGGCTGGAGGCAGTGGAGATGTCATGTCTGAGGGCAATGTGTGGTGTGAATATAATGCAGAGAATTCGTAGTTTGGAAGTTAGGAGGAGGTGCGGGATTACCAAAACTGTTGTCCAGAGGGCTGAGGAAGGGTTGTTGAGGTGGTTCGGACATGTAGAGAGAATGGAGCGAAACAGAATGACTTCAAGAGTGTATCAGTCTGTAGTGGAAGGAAGGCGGGTAGGGGTCGGCCTAGGAAAGGTTGGAGAGAGGGGGTAAAGGAGGTTTTGTGTGCGAGGGGCTTGGACTTCCAGCAGGTATGCATGAGCGTGTTTGATAGGAGTGAATGGAGACAAATGGTTTTTAATACTTGACGTGCTGTTGGAGTGTGAGCAAAGTAACATTTATGAAGGGGTTCAGGGAAACCGGCAGGCCGGACTTGAGTCCTGGAGATGGGAAGTACAGTGCCTGCACTCTGAAGGAGGGGTGTTAATGTTGCAGTTTAAAAACTGTAGTGTAAGCACCCTTCTGGCAAGACAGTGATGGAGTGAATGATGGTGAAAGTTTTTCTTTTTCTGGCCACCCTGCCTTGGTGGGAATCGGCCAGTGTGATAATAATAAAAATAAAAAAATAATAATAATGTATATATTTAAACTTTCTTCCTGAAAAAAGATATTGATTATTAACAAGCATCTTTTTTAAGTAGTGTATGATTCAATTAAAAGTCCATCACTGTCATTTACACCATCAATACCAAGGATTTCACAACACCTTTCACAATAGTCTAAGTCTTGTAAAACAATTATTCTTTCTCTTGGCTCAAAATTTCCTAAACATTTACTTAGCACCAAACAATGTCTCCACTCTTCTCACCTCTAGGCACATAAATGCTACTACCAAATTCTCACATATTCTCCATACTACATTCAATGCCTCCTTATACCTGGGTACATACCATGGGCACGGTCTCTGCTCCTGTGTTCACGGGTCAGATTGTGTAGTTCATAGACATTGAGGGCTGTGAGTATTGTACCAAACATAAGGACAGACACGACAGCCACCAAAAACCGCATCTGCCGCCTAGATATGGGTGTGCCAGCCATCCCGGCACCCATGCTGCCAGAACCAGCAGTGATGCCCATCACGAAACTAAATCATCCCTGCGAATATAATTACACAGAATCAGTGTATGGCTCATTTTTCATTGTACAGTTAATCACAAGACAACTTTTATTCATTAGCACCTGCAAATTTTTTTTTTTTTTTTTTTCAACAAGTCGGTCGTCTCCCACCGAGGCAGGGTGACCCAAAAAAAAAAAGAAAGAAAATCCCCAAAAAGAAAATACTTTCATCATCATTCAACACTTTCACCACACTCACACATTATCACTGCTTTTGCAGAGGTGCTCAGAATACAACAGTTTAGAAGCATATATGTATAGAGATACACAACATATCCCTCCAAACTGCCAATATCCCAAACCCCTCCTTTAAAGTGCAGGCATTGTACTTCCCATTTCCAGGACTCAAGTCCGACTATATGAAAATAACCGGTTTCCCTGAATCCCTTCACTAAATATTACCCTGCTCACACTCCAACAGATCGTCAGGTCCCAAGTATCATTCGTCTCCATTCACTCCTATCTAACACGCTCATGCACGCTTGCTGGAAGTCCAAGCCCCTCACCCACAAAACCTCCTTTACCCCCTCTTTCAATATATAAATATTGACCTGCAAAATACAGTAAGAAAAAGATGGAAAGAGGGATAATACAACTGAGATGGGGAAAGTTGGTGAAGGCAATGTCAGGGAAAAACATGGTGAAATGAAAACAAGAGGGAAGATATAGCAGAAAAGTGGAATTACTGAGATAACAAAAGAGAGGAAGTAGAAAATAAAATAGAGATACAGTGGACCCTTGAATTTAGTAGTGCCTTTTATGTATGCAAAACTATTTTTATTATCTATAAAATGTATTGTTTGTTAATATTTTTGGGTGTCTGGAATGGTTTAATTGGATTTACATTATTTCCTATGGGAAATATTAACAAAATGTACATATTACAGATAATAAAAATAGTTTTGCATACAGAAACGGCACTACTAAATTCAAGGAAGAGAGGGAGCAGGAAAAAACAGGAGCAGGCAAGAAAAAAAAGAGAACATAAGAAAAGGAAGGAGCAGTAGGGAAACGAGAGTGCAGGACAAGCAGAGAGAAAAAGTTAAGAGCAAAAGGTTTAAGGGAACAGGAAAAGGAATGAAAAGGGAGCAGAAAGAGAAGGAAGGAGCACTAGGAAAAGGAGAGAACATAAGGAAAAGGAGCAGGAGGGAGCAGAAGGGAAAGAAGGGAGTATAATCAAAAGGAGAGAGCAGGAGGAAAAGGAGATAGGATGAAAAGGAGGGAGCAGGAAGAAAAGGAAAATATGGGAGCAGGATGAAGAGGAAGAAGAAAAATGAGGGGGAGGTGGAAAAGAAAAAGGTAGGAGCAGGAGGGAAAGGAGGAAGCAGAATCAAAGGAGGGAGGAGAAAAATGAAGGAGCAGAAAAGAGGAAGAGGCCAAAGGAAAAAAAAAAAAGGAGAGAAAGGAAAGTAGCAGCAAGAAAAAAAGGGAGATTATATCCCTAGACGATACAAGGTTCTTTTCACTTCCTCATTCCATATATCATTTGCTCCACTGCTCCTTTTGAGCAAGGACCTCAAGTTATGACTTTACTTATCTTCTGTCCCAATGACCTGGAGTGGACTTTCTCCTAGTTCTCTCCAGGATATAATATTCCCTATTCTTTTCTTGATCTTCCCATAGCCTGTTTCTCTGTGGTCTTGGATGTCTTTAATACCTGTTTGTCCTCAGGCATCTTCCTAAATGCCTGTAAGTGCTACTTTCTTTTTCCATTCCGTAAACGTGTAAACAACACAACACTGTCAGGATCATGTCAGTTGATAACTTCCTTGTCATGCAAATCCATGGAAAGCTTGATGTCTGCTTGCTTTATATATGGTCTGTTGAAAAAGGTAGGATTAACAGAATTCATTTGATTTTATATCTCATTCTGTGATCCCTTTAAATTTGCTCACCTGAAGTTTTCTGAGGTCCTTCTCTACCTTGTTAAAAGAAGCACAGAGGAACACTCCTTTTGAGTGGTAGATGATACGTTTTCCTTGCCATGCCTATTCCATAAATGTGTGCCTTTGTAGATAGTGCTGAGCTACCTCCTTTTAATCATCTTCCCAGAAATTCCTAGATTTAATTGTACTCATGCTCTACTTTATGCAAATGATGCAACACTTTTTGGCATTGGTGACTTCTTCCTGAAGACCCAAGAGAGTCTCCCCTTCATCATGGATTGAAGTGTGCTCTAGACCACTGTGAAACCTTATGAACAATGCTGCCCCTAAATGACTAAATGAATGAGCCTCACCCTTGACAGACCACCTCTCACAATGAGGTGCCATACAGCTGCTATCTACCCTATTTACAGTTCATTGCAATCATTGAACGAGTTTTCAGCTCTGTATGGGGAACTATCGCCTGCAGTTTTGTTGTAGATGGAGCAAGTTGACATGAGTGAGTTGTATATCATTCCATATTCCTAACCACCTTCCATTGGTTGTACATGCTATCTGGTTTAGTGCTTCTTTTTGATTATAATAATAATGTACATGCTATTTGAGGCAGCTCTCCTCACTGTCACAAATACATGTGCCTCCACCCCCATCTCTGAACTTCTGAGGTTAAGTCAGACGTAGTTCCACTGCCATCCACATGGATGGCCAAGGACTGAATAAACTAGTTCCCATTAAAAGTCAACAAGAGTTTGCATTAAAGGTGGGACTTTCAGCGAGGAGGTCAGTTAAAGCAAATGTCAGGGCAGTATAGATGTCGGAAATGAATCCTGTGTACCCAATGACAGAAAGGACAATCGATTAAGATTTGCGGGAACCAACAAGTGTGCCACAAAATGGAGTGATGAGTCTGGGGTGAAGTATGTGTTCAGAATAACGGAGGGACAAATTTCACATCAAATGCAGAGAGAACCTATAGAAATTTGATCCTCGCCAAGTGCAGTGAGGCAAAAAGTGGTCAAGAGCGTCAGATAGAAAAGGACACAATTGACACACAGAATTATTTACTAAGCTGAGACTTAGACTGCGGGCCCGAGTGCTAAGTGTACCTTCTCATTAGCAATACCTCTTTCGCCCAGAAGCAGAAACCCATATAAGATCAGACCAAGGCCAGCACCAAAGTTCTGAGAGAAACTATCACACTCTCCCACCTTACAGTAAAGCGAAAGCCAGACCTATCAATGACTATTAGGAAACCCCTGATGGTAGCAACGTCTTGTCTTATGATACACTCTTATGTAGTGATCCTTTGTTTTAAAAGCCCTTGTGGCTTAGCGCTTCTTTTTGATAATAATAATAATAATAATAATAATAATAATTCGTTTTAAAACTAACTCCAGCAAGCCAGCGATGCTACTGAGCAGGTCATCTAATTATGACACACATCAGGATCGCTGTTGTTTCCTGACGAATGAACTATCATTGTCTTTGAGAACTCAGGCCGCGCTAAGCTCGGCAGAGATGAATAACAGGGAAGACATGTTTTAGGTTAATTAATCGTGGAGGATGACAAAACGCCACATAATATGGCTTATTTCCATAGGGAGATCCCTAGAATGCTACCCATAACCGATTAATTTCTACTTTCACATTTATTACTAGGTGAACATAAGGAGCAGGTTGGGAAGATTCGCCCATACGTGTCTTCTCACTTGGGACTGAACCCAATATTTTTATCTTGTGAATGTGAACTACAAGCTCACAGATGCCATTAGGGTCTTGAACTCACTGCAGCCTGGCCTAGTAAGAAAAAATTAGAAGATGGTAAATGTTTGTAAGAATGGAGGAACTGGAAACTGAGGACTTGGGGATAAAAATATTGGGAATTAGTGAATAAATCCATTGACCTACAGATGAAGTGAAGTGCTTGATAGAAGACAGTTTCTCCCCATCAGGATAGTGGGAAGGATCCAACTTCTTTGTCTGGAAATGGGAAAGGTCAAGAAAAAAGATTTTTATAGTAGTAGCAGTACTACTACTACTGCTCACGAAATCGTAATTACACGATTGCAAACAAACCGCGGTATGGGTGGGGTTTGAACCCATGGTTTGTTTCGTAGTATATTTAGTTAGTCAACAAATCTGCCTAAAAGTTCAAGACGTATGATTCACAGAAGTACCCATCTGGTGGAGCATTTCCCCTCAAGGAAGGTTCCTTGATGTTGGTGAGGGGCTCTTGGTTTAGGGAATTGGATCTGTGCTCCAGTTCCCCGAATTAAGCCTGAATGCCTTCCACATTCCCCCCTAGGCGCTGTATAATCCTCAGGGTTTAGCGCTTCCCCCTTGATTATAATAATAATAATGGTGAGCATTTGTGAAACCGAGCTGTCTGCCACTGACTATATACATATAGACCATTGAAGAATGAAAACCTCACAGAGGTGTAAGTCTCTCGGCACATACATGCTGAGAATACTTTAATTCCCATTTTAGAAATTAAAGTATTCTTGGTTGATGAAAAGGTTACGTGCAGCCTTGAAGACTCTAGTGTAGTCGATAGGCTCTAAATCTCGTTAACCAACCAACCACACTCACCTCACGGCTAGTCACCAGTCATAGCAGCATGGTTCCCTGGTGGTAGTGGTAAGAATGCGGGTCCTCTGATCGACGCTTGGTAATGTAGCAGTGGATAGTGCTGGATGAAGGTAGATGGCAAGAACAGCAGTGGAAAGAGGAACGGATTGGCTTCTCTTACACGAAACATCCGCTCTTATCAAAACCTGGCAAAAAAAAAATGGACTGAACGTGTGGTGGTTGTACCTAAAAAAAAAAAAAAAACTAACATGGCAAATTATATAAATGGTCGATATCATTTAGAATGTCTTCATTTTAGTCAGTTTAAATTTTAAGAGTCTAGTCCACAAATTCCACAAAAATCTATCAATATATAACAGGAATATAATATGACATTTTTTAAAGGGGTGGATTGATAAGCCAACGGAAGGTCTCTTGGTCAGAAGACCGAAAGCTCCGGCTGTGGGTCATCATAATACTAAGACCCGCGTCCAGTTCCTTGACAAACCTACCTAACCTAATCCAAAAAACACATACATTGTATGAAATACAAATAAAATACAACTGTGAAACCAACAGCACACAGTGCCATGCGAAAAGCTCCAAGGGAAAACTTCTCTCGTAATGTTTCAATTACGTGCAAGTTGTACAAAATTGCCAACATTCTGTTTAAACCAGAGAGATAACTTACATAAAATAGTGGTGCTATTAGTTTTAGTTAACACACCAAAGAGTTTTCGCAATAACACTTATTTTACATGTCCGGAGAGCTGAAATTCAGCAAGCTGTAGACATCATCCTGTTCTAACTAGAAAACTGATGAGAAAGTAGGTTATATACTATGTAATGGGGATAATAAGTTAATCCCATGAATAAGAAACCTTCTTTATGAAAATATGCTGGAAGCACTAAATATGCATTCTTTGGAAAAGCACAGAATTAAGGGGAAAATGAGTAAAGAATATAAGTGGAAAAACGAAACAAGAGAGAGAAAAAATACTGAAAAAACATCTTACCAGGATAAGGCTCGCAATAACGAATTGAAATTTAAGCTCCCCAGATTGGAATCCTGGCTTAAGCTCCCAATATTGAAATTTGGCTTAGCCCGCCCCAGGTTGAAATCCTGGCTTAGCCCGTCCCCAGATTGGAATCCTAGTTACGCCACTGCTCATGATACCCAAGGCACATAATGGGTCCAGAGACTGCATTACATTTCCTAGGAGAGAACAACAGCATGAAAGAAGCACATAAAGGATCTAGGGACTCGGATGAACTCTGTCTCTGGGATAATATAAGCATTACAGGGGCTCATAATGGATTCAGGGGCTGGGATATATTCTCAAAGGGGGAATGAAAACTTTACTAAACTACATAAGGGGTTCAGGGACCAAGAAATTTCTCTCTGAGAACACACGTACCAGCAGGAAGCCCCACATAGCAGAAAGCTCGCTCTGTGGTTTGGGGAGCATAATGGTGGGTAGTGCTACTCGTGTTACTTACAGTGACTCAACACTGCCTCGCCGATGACACGACAAAATGCAATAACTTAGGACATAACCTAAGTTATTGTGTCTTTTTTTCACAACCTGTCGGCATATACCCTTGTTTCCACAGCCTCAGTGAATGCATAGATGCATATAGGAATTATAATTATATAATTATAATAATGGGGAGCGCTAAACCCGTAGGATTATACAGTGCATGTGGGGATGGGGGTATGGAAGGTATTCAGGGAACCGGAGCACAGATCCAATTCCGAAGATCAAGAGCCCCTCACCAGCGTCAAGGAACCTCCCATGAGGGGAGGGAGAGAAAACATGACCAACGCATGTGTTTTCCATAGGAGCTCGCATGAGCACATATGGCATTAAAATGATCACAGAAGCTCCAGAAACGCAATGTTTAAAATTATCTGATATCGTTACAGCCAGCACCGCAGTACAAAACACACTGAGTTTCAATAATTCTGAAGCTCTGATTTAAAACGCTAAGACAGGGCCATTAAATAAATTACAAAATTACATCTCCACTCGCTAGCCTCGCCCATGCTTACACGGCCACTGCTGCTCTTCCACACTACACGCTGTATAGCCCTTGTGGTTTAGCGCTCCTTTTTTATTATAATACTAATCTTCCACACTACTACCTCTTTGATACCTATGTAGATCTCATGTCTCATGCCCCTGGTAGGCAAAATGTTGCATGCGTCTTACCATCTTTCACGTATTATAAGTCTTTGATCTAATTATGCATCCCATCCCCAGGCTAAATTTTTTTTAGTGAAACCTTCTATGCTACAAACTTGCTTAGTTTGAGAGTTCAGTATCTGCTGCCCAAAATGCTGCACGATCAGTGTTTTGGGCTTTAAAAACACCATACCAAACATGTACCGTATTTATTTCATATAAAAATGTCACTGCTAAATATTTTTAGTGAACAAATGAATAAGAGGATGAGTCTACTGGCCGATGAGGCAGGTCTTAATCCAACTCAGTTTGTAGGCTAATGTATTTGTTTATACAAAAAAAAAAAAAAAGATACGCCACATTTTGGGGCTAGCCAATGAAATTTTACAAGGTGAAAGAGGTAACTTATGTATCTATTTAGCCCAGGGATGCCCAACCATGTGCCCGCAGGGCTAGTGGCTCTAACCTATTTTTAAATTTACCAAAAAATTTGCCTCAATTACGCTACTTGGCGCTTTATTCCACTCTCCTACTACACTACTACTACTGTATTCTTCCAAACTAGTGTTTTCAAATAATTTTTTTTATCAGGATTGATCCAATATAAACGTTACGAGTTCATTTGTACATTTCAATCTAATTTCCAAGGATTTCTACGCATTTCAAGAGTGTATGTTCAATGTTCTTAACATTTGTACACTAAAAAAATCCATTACAGGGATAAATTTTGTTATGCCTCTGCACGTTTTTTTTAAGTGCAATTATGATCATTCGTAATATGGAGATTAGAAGTCTGCGGCACAATTAAAGACGGCGTTACACATGAAAGCAGATTTATAGTATAGCCTTGGGAATTTTAATTATACTTCATATCAAGTCAATCTATTCAATACTTTGCTGCGAATCCAGTTTGTTAAATCCTATCTAAGGTCAGACTAAACTGAGTTAGCTTTATTTACCATCAATGAAATATAATAACACTAATATTCAGACTGATTTTCTCAGTTATAGGAAAAAATAAGCGTCGTTGGGCTCGTTTGCAGAGATAATTTATGCTTTACAACTAAAGTCCACAAATTCTAGTTATGCACACACACACACACACACACACACACACACACACACACACACACACACACACACACACACACACACACACACACACACACCCAGCCAGGAGCTACGAATCGACCCCTACAATCACAAATAGGTGAGTGCACACACACATAACATCTGGCAATGTCTTACAACATGGCCACGCCAGAACAAAGAAAGGATTGCCTTCTGGTCCCTGTGGCTGTGGCGTCACAACATGCAAGCGTCACTCTTCTTGATATATTGTGACAGTAATCAGAGAGTAGGGAGAATTACACCTTGAAAACAAACCCATTATGGGCTAACTTTCCCTGTTTAACCAACAGAAACAACACATGACTGTGAAAGTATGAAAGTAACGTGAAACGTAGAGAAAATGAAAAAAAAAAAGTGACATAAAATTGGCTAAAACGGAATAGAAATCCGTGCACAAACTAAAGAAATTTAAACAGACTAATAAAATGGTGAGATGTAAACTTAAAAATAAAAAAACGCACTAATATCGAGCTAAAATATATAAGAAAAAAAACAAGATATTGACTTACAATGCTAAACAAAACACTACAGAAATATAATACTAAATGTAACACACTACATATGAAGGTATTGGTAGCATGACAGTACACGAGAGTAACCGTGAGTAATTAGAGGAAGCGTGTGTTGGCCCCAGTAGCAGCGTGTCTCCACTAACCGTGAGTAATTAGAGGAAGCGTGTGTTGGCCCCAGTAGCAGCGTGTCTCCACTATCACCACCACACCACACAACGTATATATCCTAAGTGGCATATATATATACATTAGGGAAAATTCTTCATATTAGTATTCAGGTGACCACACTACTATTGCCGTCATCATTGCCACCACCATCACATCACCACCGTCAACACTGCCACCATCACCATCACATTACCACCACCACCGTCACACTACCACCACCACCGTTAAACTATCACCACCATAAACGCTTCCACGAAGAATCGACCAACCTCCACGACTTTCCAGAAATAGTTCTAAAGAATCTACAGTAAAAGGTTCAAGGCTAAAGTCTTTAAACGTATGTTATCAGCTGGAAAGTAGTTTCTAATCATCCATAAGTTGTAAGGGCACAATCTAAGCCTTAACATATTGAAACCTTACCCAGGTACACAAGTGATTGCCATAAAACTGATACCCAACACTGGTACACCAGTGGTTACTATATCATTGATACCCAGGTACTGGTACACCAGTGGTTGCTGTATCACTGATACTCAGCACTTGTATTCCAGCAGCTGATTAATCACTGAGTGTCACATCACGTGACTAAAAACAGTGCCAAGACATTTTTTTTTCTGCTCGAGGAAACAATAACGATATACGAGTGAAATCAGAGGCGGCTACAGTGAAGAGCTATGTTCCAACAAGGCAGAGTACTCACCCCCCTTCTCTTTCTCGCTCTCATAATTGACATAAACAAGGATATAACCCATAACACTATTCTTTGCAGACAGTCCTAGAATTTATATGAGTGGCACCCACTGACGACTTAGCGAGCCTCCAAGCTAGTATCTGCCAAGTCTTCCAGTGCGCTACTTACATCAATCTGATGCTCAATGAGGACGAATTTCAGATATTATGTTACGAAAAGATTGAAGAAATAAAAACAGGACCGGAGTACAAGACAAACTCAAGCTACTCAATGAAGTCTTTACATAAGAGATCCGGGAGTGATACTGCAACATCTTATGGTCAATGAGCACAATAATGTTATCACAACTACAAAAAAAAAAAAATGGTAAGCTGTATAACTAGAACTTTCAAAACAAGAGATGCCAAGACAATGATGATACTTTACAGGTCACGCGTTCTCTCTAGGCTGGAATATTGCTGTATACCAACATCCAAATCAAGGCAGGCGAAATTGCAGAGCTGTAAAACATACACAGA